TAATGTTCTCCTGGATCATCGTGTCTCATTACACCGTCATTAAAAACTGTAAGTATGATAACTTTCCTCCCTTCTGTCTCTCTGCTCCAGGTCACGTTGCCCTGAGGGCGAGGACAGGGCAGAGTGATGGGCTGCTGCTCCTCAGCTTCTCTATAGATTAAATCTGTGAAACATAATCTATGAAAATATCTAACAATACCAAATTATCTGTTTACACATGAAAGGCGGAGTGTTAGAAGCCTGTACCTGCAGAGACATCAGAGCCCAGAATAAAAGCACAAAGACAGCAAATGTTCACCCACATCCTGATGCACTGAAATAACTGCAACAGCTGACCCAGGCTTCTGTTTCTGCTGAGAACAGGAACTTTGTGGTTTACAGGAACTGTGTGGTTTACAGGAACTGTGTGGTTTACACGCACATCTTCTGCACATCTCAGAGTCTTTTTATAGGAAATGAATATTAATGTTTCCTGTTAATATTTCCTCAGGATTTGTTGTTGACTACCGACAACAACAAAACTGTGTCTGTACTGGAAAGTGAAAATTACTTTTCTGTGAACAAACACACTACGCCACAGCTACAGTGGGGCAAAAAAGCATTTAGTCAGCCACCAATTGTGCAAGTTCTCCCACTTCAAAAGATGAGAGAGTTCTTCCATCACAGGTATGCGTCAACTATGAGACAAAATGAGGACAAAGATCACATCGTCTCATTTTTAAAGAACTGATTTGTAAATCGTGGTGGAAAATAAGTATTTGGTGAGTAACCAAAGTTGATCTCAGTACTTTGTTATATACCCTTTGTTGGCAATGACAGAGGTCAAATGTTTCCTGTAAGTCTTAGCGAGGTTTTCACACACTGTTGCAGAGGTGTGGACTCGAGTCACATGACTTGGACTCGAGTCATTCATTTTATGACTTTAGACTTGACTTGAAAAAATGTTCTAAGACTTGTGACTTGACTTGGACTTTTACACCAATGACCTGGGACTTGAATTGGACTTGAACCGGTTTACTTGAAAAGACTTGATATTTCACCCCAAATATAAAATTTAACATGCATATTATATAGAAAGTGTGCATCATTAATTCAATTCATTGATTCATTTATTCCAACCACACTCCGTACGTATGTGTGCGTGAGCTGTAGCACAGCCAATCAAATTAACCAGATTTTTTTTTTAAGAAGAAAAAAAACGCTCAAAAATGTTATTTTTTCCAGGTACATAAACTATGAAGTAGTCAACAAAAAACCGAAACGCAATATGCAAAACATGCAAGCAGAGAATCACAGACAGAGATGGAACAACTTCCAGCAGTTGGAGTTGCATAAAGAACGGTAGGCGGGGCTTCATGACTTCATCTAACTGGCAAATGTTGTCCAGGCTACGTTGGTGATACAGTTTTTTTTAATATGTATGATATTTTTGTCATGTGATTTTAAAGCCGGTCCTACAACCGCATCCAAGAATAACATGCAGCTTATCTCAGAACTGTCGGTGAAAACTATTCTTGGAGCTAGGTTTAATTGAGCTGCATTTTAAAGAGGTGCAATTTCACAATTTGTGTATATTTTCTAAGTTCACTATTTTGTCATGTGTTGAGAAAAACACAGATTTAAAAATCACACGGTCTAATATTTACATTTAGCATAACTGCAACATGCTTTTTTCTTTTTCTTTTTAAGACTTGAAATTCAAAAGTTTCAGACTTGTGACTTTACTCGGACTTTTACAGTGACTTGAGACTCGACTCTGACTTGAGGATAAAGACTTGAGACTTACATGAGACTTGCAAAACAATGACTTGGTCCCACCTCTGCACTGTTGCCCCAAAGCCTGATGTTCCCACCATGCTTCACAGCAGGTATGCTGTTCTTTGGATGCAACTCAGCATTCTTTCTCCTCCAAACACAACAATTAGACTTTTTAGCAAAAAGATCTATTTTGGCTTCATCTGAACATATGACATTCTCTCAGTCCTCTTCTGGATCCAAATGCTTTCTAGCAAACTTCAGACGTGCCTGGGTGTGCACCGGCTTAATCAGAGCGACACGTCTGGCACTGCAGGATTTGAGTCCCTGGCGGCTTCGTTAGCCTTTGTTACTTTGGTCCCAGCTCTCTGCAGGTCATTCGCTCGCGCCCCCCGTGTGGTTCTGGGATCTTTGCTCACCGTTCATGTGATCGACCCCACGGGGTGAGAGCTTCCATGGAGCCCCAGGTCGACGGAGATTATCAGTGGTCTTGCTCCCACAGTTGATTTCTTCACACCAAGCTGCTTACCTATTGCAGATTCAGTCTTCCCAGCCCGCTGCAGGTCTACAATTTTGTTTCTGGTGTCCTTTGACAGCTCTTTGGTCTTGGACATAGTGGAGTTTGGAGTGTGACTGTTTGAGGTTGTGGACATGTGTCTTTTATCCTGATAACGAGCAAAAACAGGTGCTATTAATACAGGTAACAAGAGGAGGACAGAGGAGCCTCTTACAGAAGAAGTTACAGGTCTGTAAGAGCCAGAAATCTTGCTTGTTTGTAGGCGACCAAATACTTATTTTCCACCATAATTTGCAAATAAATTCTTTAAAAATGAAAATTTTTTACTCATTTTGTCTCTCATATCCTGGAACACCACCAAGCCATTGGTTCAGGTATGTGGATGACACCTGGGTGACAATCAAATCTCAGGACGTTCCACATGTCACGGATCACATTAACTCGGTGGACCGACACATCAAATTCACCAGGGAGGATATGAACAGGGGCAGGTTAGCCTTCTTAGACTGTGAGATTTCCATCAGTAGTGGGGGACATCTACAAGCTGACGTGTACCGTAAACCTACACATACTGATCAGTATCTAAGGTTTGACTCTCATCATCCACTGGAGCTCAAACTGGGCGTCATCAGGACGCAACACAGAGCGAACACCATCCCCACTGACACAGCAGCCAGGGAGGCAGAAGAACATCAAGAAGGCCCTGAGTAAGTGTGGTTATCCCAGCTGGACTTTTGTCAAAGCTGGGAAGGCTCCTAAAGAAAGCTCCAGCTGATCCAGGAGAGAAGGACAACCACATGTTAATGATCCAGGCACTGACCTCACAGCCCATGGTTCATTCAGTTGTGCTAGTTTCAGTTATTATGCAAATGTCCTGTTTATAAAGTTTTTTTTTATCATCATCCAGGTGACTTCTTCAGCCGAGGCTGAAGAAGTCACCTGGATGATGATAAAATGTTTCTGCCACTGACAACACAACGTCCAGATGAACAGAATCAACTTTTTGGGATAGAGTGCTCCCAGCTTTCTGTCGAATGGCCTTCATTGCTTGGAGAATCGAGGAGAGCATCCGGCAGGCTCTACGGGATGATAATAATAATGGATTGGATTTATATAGCGCTTTTCAAGGCACCGAAAGCGCTTTACAATGCCACTATTCATTCACACACACATTCACACACTGGTGGAGGCAGCTACAGATGTAGCCACAGCTGCCCTGGGGCAGACTGACAGAAGCGAGGCTGCCATATCGCGCCATCGGCCCCTCTGACCAACACCAGCAGGCGGTAGGTGAAGTGTCTTGCCCAGGGACACAACGACCAGGACAGAGAGCCCGGGGATCGAACCGGCGACCTTCCGGTTACAGATGCGCTCCCCTAACCCTGACCTCCTCCAACTTCCAGATCGCCGTTTTGTTCCCACGTTCGGACTCACATATCTAAATTCTCCTGTCACCACAGAGCAGGTTGAACCATCGCCTTACCGAAGCGCCACTTCTGGTGGGAAACGTGCGCGGGAGTACGTCTCCGCCTGCGAGACCTGCACCAGGAGCAAAACCAGACTACTGCAGCCATTAGCCATACCTTCTTGCACTTGGTCACACATCTGTCTGGACTTCGTCACCAGTTTGCTCATCTCGGCAGGTAAATCCGTAATTCTCTCTGTAATTGATAGATTCTCCAAAGCCACTGACTTTATAGCCTTGGACAAACTCCCCACAGCTACTGAAACCGCTAAACTTTTGGTCGCTTCATCTTCAAGCGCCACAAAAGCTCAATCCAAGATCACCTCCTCCAGCAGAGGACCCCAGATCACATCACAGGGTTGGAAGTCATTTTGCTCTTTAGGGGACCAGGTCAGCCTCAGTTCTGGGTACCACCCTCAGACCAACGGAAAGACTTCTTAGGTTCTTAGCTTTTGTGTTCTCATGTTTATCACAGGTTTAGTTCAGTGTGTAGTCTGTCTCTCTGTGTCGTGTCTGCGTCTTTGTTTAGTGGTTTCCTGTTTTATTGTGAAAGTCTGTCTTATGTTAGTGTGTGCAGCTTTGCTCCCCGTCTCGTTAGTCCAATCCCTCCCAGCTGTGTCTCCCTCCTGTGTCGCGTCGTACCATCAGATTATGCCTGTGACAGTATTCAGTGTTCACTTCATGTTTTGTTTCCGTGCCAGCAATAAAGCTGAGGTTTGGAGTTGTATTCAGGGTCCTCCTCTCCCTGCGCCTGCACACAGAGCCCTGACAGATCAGATGCTCTCCTGAGAGAAACTGGGAGACGAGCGGGGATAAATCATGAACTCAAAAGCTATATAATAATTCAAAAACACAAAACACTGGGTCACCGACCCAGGACCGTGACACGTTCCTTCATACTTGACCCTCCTCTCATTTCAGATTTTTTCAGGTCACATCGCAGGTTGGAGGCTGCTCCTGCTGCATGGCTGCTGCATGGCTGCTGCATGGCCGCTGCATGGCCGCTGCATGGCCATCTGGCCAAGCAGAGTTGCACTTTTTAAATGTCTTTTATTTTCCAGCTGCCCTCCTTCTGTGTCACACACAGGTATCTCAGGTCCCAGCAACATGATTGGATAATTAGGTCACGTGTGTGAGTAAACCTCCCCTGACACCACACCCTGAATCCATTGCTCCACCCCTCCCAGGCAGCTGAGCCACAAACCACACCCCGCCCCAAGGTCACTACCATGAGATATTTTATATTCACTGTCTTATTCTCACCGCTGTCAGATTTCTCCTCCTTGATCACTTTTAGATAAGCAGCTGGTTTTCCATTACAGTGGTACAGTCCGGAGTCAGCAAGCTGAACATCTGGAATAATCAACATCTGGCCCACAGTGGAAGCATGAGGGCAGACTATCTGTTGTTTTCCAGCAAAACTTCTGCTCCACGATGGACTTCCTGATCTTCGACCAGCATGAGGGCATCTCAGGGTGACGTTCCTCCCCCCGACAACAGCGAGTCTCATTGTTCCTGTGCACAGTAAACATGAACATTACGGGGTCAGCACCTGTCTAAGGTTCACACACATGCATTCGGTCTGTCTTCTGACTTTCATTCTCCTCTCCAGGCTCTCCTCCACCTGCTCCAGGCTCTCCTCCACCTCTCCAGGCTCTCACTGCAGACTACAGTGTCGTCTGCAAACATCAGAGTCCACAGAGACTCCGGCCTGACCTCATCTGTCAGTCTTTCCATCACTGCAAACAGGAAGGAGCTAAAAGCCGATCCCTGATGTAATCCCACCTGCACCTTCACACCCGTCTCTCTGCTCTTATACATGAGTCGCACCACCCTCACTTCTCTGCCACTCCTGTCTTCCACCTTCAGTGCACCTCTCTAAACAAAATGAAATGTTCTCGAGAGACAGAGAAACATGGTCACATGACCTCACATATTCAGACCTGAGTTCAGGGTCATTAAGAAAGCCCAGCAGAGGATGTACTTCCTGAGGCAGCTGAAGAAATTCAACCTGCCAACACGGACGATGATGCAGTTCTACACTGCAATCATCGAGTCCATCCTCACCTCCTCCATCACCGTGTGGTACGCTGGAGCCACTATCAGGGACAAACAGAGACTGCAGCGTGTTGTGCATTTTGTGTATTTTTTCCATGTCTATTTAAGTGTTATTCATGACACCATGTTTGCACTGAAGCACCGCAGCAATTTCCTAATGTTGTAAACCTGCTCAACATTTGGCAATAAACCCCATTCTGATTCTGATTCTGATTCTGATAAGCCTAGGCTGATGTAACGGTCAGAGAGGCAAAGCGTTTCTACTCTGTGCTGTTTCAGATGCTTTTTGTGGCAGACACGCAGCTACACTTGGGCCGTGCGGCACATGTTACCTGCTCACCAGCAGAGCCACACCAGTGAGCCAACGTTCATTATGCAAATTTAGATGTACAGGAAATTTACATAACGATGCAACGTCATAAGGGTTTCTTTTGAAAAGCAGGCTTTCCTAATAATAAACTACTACTATAACAATAATTCTCGGTATGTGGAGAAGACATCGTGTCATTTCTTAACCATTTATCAGTTTTTGTAGTTGCACCAGTGCAGCCAGTTTTGGCCCAGCAGGTGATATCAGCGGGGAAGCTAAGCTAACCTCTGACCCACACTGACTGCTCAGATGTGAGCAACATCTGACTCAGAGACTGTTATGACCTCAGCACTGAGAAAATATCCAGATCATGTTGGGAAAAACCCAACTGAAGACTGAAAAATCGAATAAGTTTGACGTCACCTGACGGGATCACTGTGAGCGCCACAGCAGCTTTATCGTCACAGAAGTAGGTTCCCGAGTGCGAGACAGCAGCTCTGTAAATGTAGAGCGACAGGTCGTCGTATGCAGTGTACTGCTTGGTGATGTCATCGTGTCTTATTAAACGTCCGCCATCGGCTGTCAGGATCTCCTCTCTGCTGTCATTTCTCTCTCTGCTCCACGTCACTCTGCGCTCCTCGGAGAGAGGACACCTCAGAACAACGGAGCGCTCTTCTTCAGCCACTTCATGCATCAAACCTGCAAAACACAATATCATAAAAATACAAGTGAACATTTGGCTGCAGCTGGATTAAGATTCAATCTTTACTGAGGTTTTTTAAATTAAATCAGCTGCACCACACACCACTGACACAGGCTTCAATATGCAAACTTATCATTAAGGTGTAAAGAACAAGTTTAAACATTTAGGTCAACATGTTCAGAATGAATGTAAACGGTTCTTACCTGCAGTGACTTTACAGCTCAGGAGAAAGGCAAAAAGACAGCAGCAGATGTTTGCTGCCATCCTGATACAGACAGAAAAGATTTAAACTCTGACTTCATCTTTTCTTCATGAGAAGAGGATCAGGAGTTATTTAGGAACGGCCTTAACACCTCTCACTGTCTTTTAATAGTGTTTCCTGTTTTGTGCGCATGAACGTGTGCAAATACAGTGTTGGTGCTAAAGGCGTTCAGGGAAGTGTGACTTCTGAAACACAAAGAGGCTTTAAAGAAACCTGCACCAGAAACTGGCTGATGGCAGCAGAGACCCAGGAGCAGAGTGGGACAGGGCGCTGATGACCGGTCGGGCGGAGACGCAAATGGACCAGATGGTGTGGAAACCTCTGGTGAGACAGAGCTAGCTGCAGCTGTGCTGGACGCGCAGCGTGCTCAGGAGCGACGTGGAGTTTGTGGCCGGCTGGATACGCTCGCTCGAGCTCCCAGCTGATGCAGGAGGCTGAGACAGCTCGCAGCCTCCCCCATGTTACATAGTTAATGTTGGATTGCAGTCGGCACAGTCAGAGGACATATCTTACACATCGTGTTTAGACATTAAACTAAACATTACCCTCTGAACAATGTCCTGCTTCTCCTCAGTTACTTCATAGATTAAATCTTACAAACACATTTAAACACAAAAGACAAAATGCAGTGAGCCCAGTGAGTGCGAGTGTCTGGTAGTAGGAACTCAAGCGCAGAGCCGTAGGCGTCTCCAAAAAACAGTTTATTCACAGCACCAGTGCACGATATATACAGTGGAGGGGAAGCTGTCTCACACTCGCTCACGTCTTCTTGCCCAAACTCACACACGTTCACACGACTGGGGGGTCATACGGGGAGTCTGTCGCAGAAGAGAGGGAAGTCACACACGAATCACAGGGTCACAAGCGCTGGGAGAAACACTAACGTCTGTAGTACAACCACCCAGCGACGAGAGGATCTGTGTTCCAGCCTCAAATAGTGCTCCAGGTGATGACCGCTGATTGTTGACAGGTGTGTGGGCCAAGGGCGGAGCCCACAGTGAGCTCCGCCCAGGCAGAGAGAGAGAGAACCAAACAGCACATGTAGCCCTGTGCCGCCGGCCGGGCGCGGAGACCATGACAGTGAGAGCCTATAACAACACAGCAGGAGATGTTCACTGTCACCATCGTTCTGTACTCAGATTAGCATCTGAGCTAATACTTCGGGCTGAGAGCAGGAACTCTGTGGTTACGTGTGGTTTGCCCACACGTAACCACAGACAAAGAGGTGCTTTATATACAAGGTCAAAAAAACCTGTCCATCCACAACTCAGCTAAACTAAAGTTCGTGGATGCTTTTGTTTCTTATTTAATATCTCAAAGAGCAGCTCTGCTAACTCAAACTGACTCATGTCTTATTTTTACTTTAAGCTGAAAACAGGAACTGTGCGGTCGTGTTTGCAGGTCCTCAGCACACCACAGTGTCTTCTTAGACGCATACAGAAGATGTGTGAACTGCCATCAGACACATGCAGTGTGACGTTTCCTCCGTCTAGTCTGCACAAGTAAAGAATACAACAGAATTCAAATGTCTGCAACAGCAGAAGACGAAGAGAGGACTCCTCAGCTGTGTGGCACATCGATCATGCAGGTGCACTGAAACCTGCTCCTCACACACAAGATATTGAATATTCAGGCCCATCTTATCTTAATGACCTTGTAGTACCATATCAGCACTTTGCTCTCAAAACATATAGCTGTAGGCTGCTGGGAGATTCCCATGATGCACTGGGAGTTTATTGTTCAGTCACTATGTATTTATAGACCTCTCTGCATTAGTTATTTTTAATCTGTGGCAGTCTTCACAGCGTGTCTTTGTCCTGTCTTCCTCCTCTCGGCCCCAGATGGTTTCTCTGTATTAGTGTAGTCTTTATCTTACCATACAGAGCATGCTGAGGTGCCTGCTCTTGTGATTTGTTGCTACAATGAAATTGAATAGAATTTGTCTAACAGCAGGAAAGCAGCACAGCATGGCTGTGAAAGCAGGCTTACGTCTATGAGACAGCACCGTAATATTTTGCCAATAAAATCTATAATTATTGTAACAAATAATTGGAATCAAATATTGATGAAAATAATTGTGATAATTAATTTGGCCATAGTGATGAAATCCAAATTACAAGGCTGCCGGTCCAGACGGTGTAGCTGAATGTGAAAAGGAAGCACGGCATCATCAACACCTGCCTGAGTCACACATGCCCACTCAGCCCTCGTGGAAGAAGTGTCGAAAAGGTGGAGCTGAAAAGCTGAGAGAGGAAAATAGATGCAGCTGCTGCATCGTGAACATTAGTACCACCAACAACTAACCAACCAGCCTCAGGGTGCTGGACTTGGGGTGAAACCCTCCATGCATGGTCAAGAGCTTCCTGGACTTGATGTCAGTGGCTTCTATCTCCTTCTTTGGGCAGCTTATTATCCCAGCAGGGTACCTGATCACGGGCAGGGCGTACGTGTTGATGGCCCGGGTCTTGTTCTTATCGTACAGCTGACTCCTCAGGACTTGCCTGACCCTCTGCGGGTACTTGGTGGTTGCGGTTTTTCTAGCGACCTTTCCATGACTCCCACAAGACTTTTTTGAGCATGTTGTAAGCTTTGTGCTTCTTTGGAGATCCCAAAGATAATTACTGGTGGATTTGGATCAATCTTGGTTTTACGAATATTAGACAGACAGGTGAAGATGTCACCAAAAACCCTGAAGCCTCGGACAAAGTGCATTTCCATAATGTGTCATACGTTTTTCACAGAGGGGGGAGCAGTCTGGGTACAGTTTGTGAAGTCTTTCCCTTGAGTAATGTAACCTGTGTACAATCTTATACTGAATTAGGCAGTGACGGGAATTAATAAAAAGCCAAAAATCTTCCGATAGGGAAATCCCAAATTCCTTTTGGATGAATGAGTTGAAGGTGCACTCATCTCCTGTAGTGCGTCATAGAATAATGAGATTCTCTGTTCGGACCCCGGCTGTCACTAAGGCTTCCATCCAAGGTGTCGGACGACGTGTGCGGATATTATTCCGTAGTTGAAGATATCTAAAAAAATGGCTGCGCTGTAGTCCAAATCTATCTGTTAACTGTTGAAATGACATGAAGGCATCGTTTGAATACAAGTCTTTTAATTTACGAATTCCCAGTTCCTGCCACACGTTGAAAGCTCCGTCTGCACATGATGGAAGGAAAGAGGGGTAAGCTGTAACATACTCATCGATAGTGGTGGTATGGATCTCTGGTTATAGTTATAGTGTGCACTTGTCAAGGGACTAGAAGTAATATTCCACCAACACAGTAAGGAAGGCAGTGCTGCAGACCGTGGGGGAATAACGCTGTATCGTCAAGTAAGAGGGAACTTATTCTTAAATTTGATGCCCAGTAATAATGCAGGCAGTGCAAGTCCTCCAAGGCCTTTACAAAGATGTTCTTTCTTTATTCTATGCGTTTTCCAGTTCCATATAAACGACATAATAATGGCATCCAACTTTTTGAAGAAAGATTTGGGCAAAAAAATCGGGACATTTCAGATATTGCGGGAGAAAGACCTTACTGAGTTCACTCTTCCTATAAATGAGATAGGGAGCGTCCTCCAAAACTGGATGTTGTTTTCTAGCTTCTCCAGTAGAGGGAGACAGTTTTCTTTCACTAGTGAACTACATTTTCTTGTTATTGAGATGCCCAGATATGTAATTTTTTCACAAGTTATTTTAAATGGTAGAGATGTAAGCCACTCACTACTTTCAGATTTGATGGGCAATACTTCACTTTTTCCCCAGTTGGTCCTGTAACCGGCGAAGGGGCCAAATCTTGTCCTAATTGAAATTTCTCTGAGACAGCAAAGAGATAGGGCCACTCCACATGATCAAGTGCCTTTTCGGCATGTAAGCTGAGTATAAGTAGATCCTGTTGCACCTTAGAGGAGTGAATTATATTAAATAGATGCCTTAGATTATTAAAGGAACTCCTATCTGGTATAAAGCCTGTTTGATCTGAATGTACCAGTTTATCTATCACCATACTGAGTCTACTCGCTACACAGCAAAATCTCCAGTGTTAAATTAACACTTTTGACAGTGTTATATGTTTAAAAGTAACCTAGTCAGTTTTGAAGATCAACAATGGCTGACACTGAGCAGTGCTGATTTTCTAACACTGGAAAATAACTTCCAGTGTTAGAAAATCAGCACTGCTCAGTGTCAGCCATTGTTGATCTTCAAAACTGACTAGGTTACTTTTAAACATATAACACTGTCAAAAGTGTTAATTTAACACTGGAGATTTTGCTGTGTAGTGTTGCAGCCAGGACTTTCTGATCCAAATTTAATAAAGAGATAGATCTATATGATCCCACTTCCTCCAAGACTTTACCTTTTTTGGGGAGTACAGTAATAACTGCTTCATTCAATGTTGGTGGTAAGGTGCCCACATTGTATGCATGGTTGCACAGTTTAAACAGATATGGAGCAAGTTTGATCTTAAACTGTTTGTAAACCCATCTGAGTTTGTAAAGCCCCCTGTCAGCAGAATGAACTTAAAAAGTAAAGTAAATTTACTTTTTTACTCAAACAACTCAAATCAAAAATGGACTCACTCTATTTGCAAAACAGTGAATGTAACACATGTAAAATTAACTGAGCTTCTAACGTGTTTTTAATGCCTGTTGACTAAATACAGCACAGCTCCAGAAACAGCAAAGACAAAGAAATGAGAAACTGTTGAGCTGCAGGACGTTGAGAGGGCAGAGCAGCAAAGACTTTACATGTACTGAAGGTCTGGATCACATGCTGAAGAATCTGTCGTCACTCTGAAGTTCAGACTGGCTGTTTGCTGTGTGGCTGGATGACGATGATCTGATCCCAGTTCAGTCTGTACGGCTGTTGTTTCTGTGTGATGGAGGATCACGGGCCGCTTTCTGCTCCTCTGTCTCTCCTCTGTTTCTCTACCCGTCGAGCTGCAAGAGACAGAAATGAATATAATGATGTTGGATGATCACAAAGCACCTTAGAAAACCAACAAACATCTGCACTAAAGCTGAATCATGTTAAACTTCAATGAGTCTGAAAACAGTGATGATGAGAGCACAGAGGCTCTTTGAGCTCGTCCACCTTTCCTCCAGGTAACAGCAGGGATGCTGATCATGATGATGAAGCAGAGCAGTCCGATCAGTGTGCGGACAGTCATGTGACACAGCTGATCAGCAGCTGGAAGACAAAGAAACATCTGGAATCAGAGCCTCATCCACCACACCAGGATTTGTCTGCTGGAGCTGTCAGTGGTTTAATTCTTATCATACCTGGTGGTGGCAGTTCTGTTGTTGTTGTTACCATTGTTACCACTGTTGCTGTCCATTCAGTTGGTAAGAGTGGTGGAGCTGGAGGTGGAGGTGGTGGAGGTGTGGATGGTGGAGGAGGGGGCAGTTGGGGTGGTGGAGGTGCCTTTTTCCTTCCAGCTCCACAGTTTGTCAGGAGGCAGAAACAGCAGTTTGAGGTATCAAAGTGTTTTTGAATGACCGTGGAACCAGGAGACAACAGCAGTCACAACATGAATTATGTGATGTGCAACAAAAACATCTGGTATCACAACTGAATAGTAAAGTACACCCTCCCCCACTCGCCCCCAGCCATTCTTTGCACGTGTTAGTTTCTTTGTTTCCACTTCCTGTTTTATTTCGCTCGCTGCTTTTCTCGGCCACCTCGTGTATTTCCCTTTTTTGCCTCATGCTGAAGGATGTCTTATTTCCTAAAATGAATGAGGAGGAGCAACATCCAAGGATACATAGGTCTATCCTGTCAGAGATAAAGGAGGCATAATGCACAGCTGGAATATACAAACCACAACAAGGACTCTTTCCCCCTTCTCATTTTATAATTACACGTCCTCAATAAAAGGGTTTGATGTTACCTGATGGGATCACGGTCAGCTGTCCCCGAGTCTGAGACGGCAGCTCTCTGAATGTACAGGGACTTGTCTGCAAACACACTGTAATGTTTAAATCCATCATCGTGTTTCGTGTTCCAGGAACCGTAAGCTGTAAGTACACCGACCCGCCTTCCAGCACTCTCTCTGCTCCACGTCACTTTGCCCCTTACAGAGCGACGGCAGCTCAGAATGACCTGCTGATTCTCCTGAACGGCTTCATGGATGAAACCTGCAAACACAGAATTCGTAATAAGACTCTGACCATTTACCTGCCCGATGCAGCGAGAGGACATAGAGTCCGCCAGTACAAACCAAGAGCTCACAGTTTAACACAGACCATCATGAAAACAGTGAAACAAGGAGCAGATTAAACTGTTTGGTTTCAGTAAATGTGCAAAGTTCTTACCTTTAGTGACATTAGAGCCAAGAATGAAGACAATAGGACTGCAGATGATGTTCACCTTCATGTCAGGATGGACGGAAATGATTCACGAAAGGCCGACAACAGGAACTCTGAGGTCACATATGTAGGTCTCTGGTGTGAGCTCTTTTTATACATAGCATCTAAACCACAACAAAACACAGTGTGCAGTGTTAGCGTGACACTAAAGGTGGACACACATATGTACAATTGTTTCTGTTGGTGTCACAGATCTCGGGGTTGGACACTGTCCTGATTCTTTGACTGAGTCTGGTTTTCCAGCAATTAACTGAAGAAACACAAAGATTTCTACTCAACAAAGTGAAGCAGAAAACCAAGTCACGTGACTCTGCATCCAGGAGCTTATTATGAATCATAACCTTACCAACTTTAATCTCAGTGATCTACAGGACATACTTGTATAAGCTGCATGTGTAGAATCATTTTAGTCCAAGTAGAGTTTTGAAACCTTGTTCCACTATGGAAGCATCTACCACCATGTTTTCAGACTCTTAAATTTAGGATTCTTTGATTATAATAATGGATACATCGTTTCTGCTGCACCAGATTTCATTCATCAACAAAATTACTGTGATGTGACTGTCAGTCATTTGCACGTTTAAAGGTTTCAATAGTCCGAGCTGTGAAATAGAGCGTGCACGTTCATTTGCTCTCAGAAAACCACATGAGCTCACTCACCACAGACCTTCAGTGCACAGCACAGGTTAGACCGCTGGGTTAGTTTAGTGCGACAACAAAACCAGGTGCATGTGTTTGGTCTGTGCTGTCACACTGACCTTGGTCCTGTGAAAGTCTCCGTGTTTTAGTCCCATTTTCACCTTGAAACAGTCCCTTACAGGAAAATCCAGGAACAGAAAAACATGTTTTTGAAATTCCTGTTTGTCTGCAGCAGATCACAGCACACCTGTGATCACCTGACATGTCTGCTCACACACCATTTTATTTTACAGCTGGAAACTTTTATTTATTTTTATTAACTCTCCGAGTGCGTCACTAGGAGGCGCTGTGCTCCACCTTCCACATAAAAGCCACAGCAGTACACCGGAAAGCAGCTGCAGCTCTCCGAGTTCCTCATTAAAACTTCCCCCTGCAGCGCGCAGCACCTGCGCCATCCTCAGGTGTGCTCCCCGTGATTAATAAAAACAAAACCCTCGTGAGGGGCTGCAAGCTGCCGCTTTCGCTTTGTCCCCACTCACGCTGCACTGTTATGTAACGACTCCCACGCTTCATCCCCAAAACTAAAAATGAGAGCCCCATGCCAGCCCCGCTAGCATCGTTTACTACCACGCGGATTGTTTTGTTTGTGTGTGCACACCGGCTTCTTCTTAAATTCGCCCACAAACTGGACATAACGCAGAAATCACATCTCTCTGCCTGGATCCACGTGAGTTCACCAAAACTGTTTTTCTACTTCTAACCCGTGATTGGCTCCCCTTGCCTGTCAAACCCTGACATTCCTAGCGTTCACTGGCTTGCTACACATGTCAATCAAAATACGACAATTCGATTGGACCGAATCACCTTTAAAGCCCTTCCTCACTTGTTCTTCTCAACGATAGGCTCCCTGGCAACCCAATAGTAGTCTCTGAATTCTCCTATTGGCCCAATATTTAGTCAATCACACATCCCTGTGCTGTGATTGGCTTCTCTAGCAGACGTGGGCGGTAGCTCTGCCCAAAAGAAGCGTTTCCTTGTGCTGTCATATGCGACGTAAAAGGCAAGGACCTACAGTTCAAGAGGATACAGAAAGTTGACATAAATAAGGGAATTTAGAGCAAATATATATTTGATTAGTTTGAATTATAAATGATATCTTTACGTCACACCGCCCAGCTATCTTGATGCGGACGCTGGAGGCGGTAATCTGTCTGTTTGTTTAGCTAGCTGCTATCGAGCCTCCTGCTCTTCAAACACACCGCCTGCGGGGCGATGAGTACGGATCTGTTGTCGGACTTGGACAGCCGCTTCTTCGCGGATAACCTGCTGACGAGCGAAGACTGGGGTGAGGCAGCATTTTGAAGCATTAAGGGTGAGGCTGAAGCATTCAGAGGAGGCTGACGTGATAGCGGGGGTGTGGATGCATCGAGAAGGCGAGGCGACGCAAACGGGGTCGTCGGAGCGTCTTCGGCGCTTATTGTTCTCACCGTGACATCTGTGTTCACGACAGAACTGGTCAAATATATTCGTATATGATGATTTTTGGGTTGCGTTAGAGCGCACGCGACTGCAGGGCTGTCCTGTGCACGCGCTTCCTCCTTCAGCCTGCTCGCCCGGACGCGCCGGTGTGTGTTCAACACGTTGGCTGGAAACGTGAGCTGCTTTAATTTAACCGCACACTTCGCCCTCTGCGTGTTGTTCCCCCATTCCCGCTAAAAACCCGCATTAAACCGCGTACTGTTGACATGTTTCAGGGCAAAGCTCGAGCCGCGGTCAGGGGGAGGAAGAGGGCTGTCACGACTGTCGTGATCAGCGCACGCTGTTATCGCGATATCTGCTGGAAACTGGTTAAAAAAACCTCATCAGCCTCCTCTTATCTCCAGCTTCACAATAACCCCGAGAAAGGTGGTGTAGGCAGGTGGATGCAGGTGGAGGGTGTGCTGTTCCCTTTGTTAGAATAACATGTCATGGATAACCAGTCAGATAGAACAGCCGTGCTGTAGATGTAGCTCTCTCTGTTATGTTAACATTTTTAAATAAAAAAACACGTTTCCAGGATTTACCTGCCTGTTAAACAGTGAAGTAGGTTTACAACCCGTTTTATTGTAGCTGTTAGACCAAAGAATTTATAGCGCCCAGTTTCATCTAATCTCACCTGAGATTAGATGAAACTTTAATGATCCCCCTGAGAGAAGTGGGTCAGAGCAGCAGCAGGAAGAGTGAAAACACCTGAGAACAAGAGACGCTTATAAAGGACAATAACGTGTAAAACTCAGCTATTTCTGACCAAAGTGCATGCATGCTGTATGTATGCACACAGCAGCACAGGAGGCGGAGTCATCAAATACAAACTTCTGTGTGTAAAAAGTTTAGGTTTTTTATTTTGTTGGTAAGAGAAACTCTGCTATTATTATCCACAGATCAGTGTGTATTTATCAGCTTCTAGAAAATAAAATGGTATCAGCATCTATAAACATGACAAAACAGTAAGAGGAGACATGAGAAACACCATTCAGCCCTGCTGTGTGTTAATGGTGCATAGTTTGTCCACAAGGGGGCACTCTGCAGCTTCCAGCTATCAGGACATTTAATCTTTCTTAATCACAAAAATATCCTGTATTAGTCAGTAAATCATTTTAAAATCTCTGAGCTCGAGTTCTGGGATACTCGAATACTTTACGCCGTCTCCGGCTGAGCTGATGGACTCATTTCTAGTCCTGTCCATCTGCTCACACTTCAGCTCCGCCTCCTGTCTCCAAACCATCACAGCAGGTCTCACCTCCATCTTTAAACCTGCTGCTGTCCTTCTGTCACAAATCCTGTGCAGAGATCTGGAGGATTCATAAAAAGTAAAGATCACATGCAGAGTTTTAGAGTGCTGCTCTGACAGCATGTGGCTTCAAACTCCAGGGTGTGAGGAAAGCATGACGGGAGAAGCAGAGTTGACACCATCGCGGTGTGTGCGTGGTTGAAGCTGGTTTTGTTTTCTCTCATGTATGTGGACTCGTGTCTCCTGTAGATGCCTGCCTGTTCCAGTGTGAGAGCATGGAGGAGGGCGAGGACGGGGACTTCGGCCGAGGCTTGAAATACGACGCATCGGTACGTTCGACACACAAAGCTCACCTCACATTGAACCCGACACCCTGCGACCAGCACTTTCACACGGTGATGAAATCCAGTGTGTAGCTCTGCTGCTACACTTACAGCTAATCCTAGATCATCAGCACTGTCAGATGATGTAAGACCAAAGTGTTCAGCCGCAACATTAAAACCATCTGCCTGACACTGAGCAGTGAAGACGGCTGTGAGTCTGCAGGGCTGTGTGGGCTCTGCCTCTGGGACCAGGCCTGCTGGGACTCGCTGGGCACATTTGCGTAGCCTCACAGAGCTGTGAGCTCATTATTTGACTGTCTGATATTTATGAAAATGACGACGCTGAGCCCAGCGATCGCTGCCTGATTGGGTCTTTCGAGTCGCTGCACTGCTTCCCTGATTCGTCACTCTACTATCACATGACCCACAAACACATCCTGGATAGCAGCAGATCAACATGTACAAGAATAAACGGACAAATAATTTCTGAAGTAGGGATCATTTGAGTTTTAACAGATAAATTGATTTTGCTCAACTACAGCAGCTTTGCATGAGTGACGGTTTAAAATAAGCCTTCTTATACTTCCACTGGACCTCACTGCAGCTGCTCAGTTCATAAGCTGTCTGAAGTGAACAGTTTGAGTTTGCCCCACAAACAGGTTTGAAGAGCAGGGCGTGGTTTCTGTGGCCGAGACCTCCATATAAGGAATATTTCCCCTCTGTGGCTTCAGCTGCATCAAGAGTGGGAAACAGCTGAGACTTCTAGACATGTTTAATATCTACATCAGCCATCGTAGCTGCACAGGCAGGAAGACAAAGAAAAGCAGAAGAAGCTTTTTTTAACACCAGAATCTTTGTTTGTTTCTTTGTTTGTTTTTTAAATAGAAAAACAAAACTTTCAAAGTAAAAGTTTGTTTTTCTGGATTTTGGTTCTTCAGATTAAAAGTCTCTGAAACAGACTGACACATGACTGTTTTGGTTAGCAAGCTGCTGTGAATGCAGTGTTTGCTAGTTTAGCTGTGAGCTTAAAGTGCTGCAGATGGTGATTAATAATTGTTATGACTTTAACGATCAGCGGTGACGTGGCGTGTGTTGCGGAGCTGCTTCCTGGTTGAAGCTGCAGGTTCAGCAGGATGTTTCCTGGTGTTTTGTTATCTGTGATCTGCAGGACGTGACCGACAAGTTTACTGAATTGCAAACAGTTTCTGCAAACGTCCCACCTTAAAATAACGATGGAAATATTTGGCGTGCTGCTTTGGCCCTCAATGAGGAGAAATGTTTGCTTCATGTTTATCACCTGCTTCCTGTGACCTTTGACCTGAATTGAGTTTCCACATCACAGCTCCTGATGCTTCATGCTTCAGCAGATTTACGTCCTCACAGAAACTCAAGTTTTTGTCTGAGTTGTTGTAGCTGCAGATCACAGCTCCGCCCACTTTGCTGCTTTGGTGACAGCGGTGTGATAATGAGACACACACACACTCTCGTTTTGGTATCTTAGTGAGGACATCTAATTGACATAGGCGTTCCCTATCTGCTAACCGTTAACTATGAATGCCTAACCCAACTGTGACCCCGACACTAACCCCACACTTTAAGTCTCAAACATGCAAACTCGTGAAGACGGGCACGTTTGGGCTGTTGGTCCCCACAAAGATATCTAAACAGGCGCACGCACACACACACAGTTGCTGGGACTGATTGTTTACTTTCTTTGCTCGCTCTCTCTCTCTCGCTCTCTCTCTCTCGCTCTCTCTCTCTCGCTCTCTCAGTTCGACAATGACCTCGTGCTCACCCTCGATCCTGACAACCCTACGTCGCCCTGGCGACACCTTGACGACAACCTTCTCACAGGTACATGGCGGTCAGCGGACCGTGGCGACCTTAAACCACCACCGTTTAGTGTGAGTTTGATGTAAATGAGCTGTTTCCTGTGTGTGTTTTCTTTGAAGCTGACGCTCCGGCCATTAAAAACGAAATGACAATAACGCAGCCGCTGCCGGTGGAGATGTGTAAGTCCCTGCCGGGTTTCTTTTCATGGGGTTTTGGATCGTTTGTACGTTTCCTGTGGTTTCACTGTTTGTCGTGTGCAGTGTTTCAGGTGAAAGCAGAGCCTCCCTCGCCCACGTCCTCGCTCGAGTCCGAGTGCTCGGCCTCTCCACCTGAACCACAGGTGTGTCTCAGTCAGTGGGTATATTACAGAAAGCTAATGAACACAGACGGGTTTGTTGTGGCGGTTAAAAAGATGTCCTCGTTTCTCTCTCCTGCTCAGATCACCATTAAAGGCGAAAATCCTCCAACTCCTCCCTACATGTACGGAGACGTGCTGTCGCCTCCTCTAGGGTCCATGGAGGTTACCGTAGCAACAACAGCACCCCCAACACAAACCCAGATTGCTGCGGTGACACAGACGCAGCTCCAGGCGCCGCTGACGACGCCGATCCCGGCGGTCATCGGCGGGCTACAGACGCAGGCTACAGGTACGAGCGCTCGCCTGCTTATCCACTGAAAGCAGCCAATGGGAAATCTGGGTGTGGTTTGGTTGCTTTGGTGATTGGTGCACGAGCGCAAGTTTTCCAGGTGTGGCTACAGAGGACCAGTGTTAGCTTAATGAGCAGCTTCCCTGGCTGGGAGTCATTCTCCACGTCAGGAAGCATCAGAAACATCAGGCCTGCTTCTCCAGCTTCGTGTAATCAAATGTAACCGTTGTCCAAGAATCAGACCAAAACAAGATGAACGTCTCCGAGGCGCCTGGTTAGCTGCTGTGACACCGAGGTCAGACTTTAGCCTTTTGACACAGTGGTGGACAGTCTGGAGCTCAAAGTCTGATTCAGGGTTCTCAGTTTAATGAGCTGTGATCAGCTGATGGCCATGGAGTGATGTAACAGC